GGAGAAAAGAAGACATTAAATCTGTGAAGATCTCAGCAGAGGAGGATTAAACAACTCCACAAACAGCATTACCAGCTTCACTTATTACTAACCAGACTCACTTTATTTCTGTCATAATCAGACTTACTGAGAAATAGCTGAGGGTTAGATGTTGATGATTTATTGAAAATATTTCATTTGAAGTTACCATGATCGTGATTAGTGTTTACTTTAGTTGGGCTCTTGACTCTTGATAAGTTGAACATTAGTTTTACTTTGGCTACTATAACCATGTCTTTAAAAGACAAATTTGTTATGGCAATAAAAGTCAAGTAAAATGATATTCAGGTGTTGATGGATGTCTATTGATATCAGCCTTGACAGCATCTAGTGGCTGATCTTAATCAGAATAATTGTTTGATTATGAAATTGAGGTGTAATAGATTTCTCCTTACTGATTGGTATAGTCGTGTGATTCTACAGCATGATGATGATGTTCAGTTGTGATTGTATCAGGTAATTTGTGTTTGACATATATAAGATTCACAAAACCTTTCAAGCAACTGGAACACATGTGTATCAAGAATCAGCATATGAACCTCAACTATGGTGACAAACATAATATAGATATATCAACTCTGAACACCACAAATCAAGCTACTAAAAAGTCACATCAAAAAACAACAACAAAAATAAAAGCACATGGTAAGAAGAAAAGAAAATAAGACAATTCAGCTGCATAATTTATGCATGCTGCAATGCATGCTGGGAGTTCTGTATTAAGGTGATACCCAGCATGCATTGCAACATGAAGCGTTTAATTTGAGTGTCACCATTGTTGAGATTCATACGCTGATTGTTGATGTCTGTGTGTGACTTAATAACATGATGTTTTTTTAAACTATCTATGCCATATTGTTTTAAAAATCATTCAAATGATAATGCTGTTAAATTGTCTTATGGAAAATCGCTATATTAATCAATTATATGGAAAGAACCATGTGACTGAGAAAACATTCAACTCTGGCTGTGTATTGATGATGTCATGCAGAGCTTACAGATCAGTAGCACCTCATTACACCCATAGTCGCCAGATTTCTTTTCTCTTGGCTTTATTGCTATAACTGTTGTGCCTTATAAACACACAGGTATAACAGCCAGAGAAAAACTAATGTTGCAATGTCAAGGGTAACAGCCCAACTAAAGCCAACACTTATCACCATCATGGTGACTACAAACTAAACCATAAATCATCAACATCTAAACCTCAGTTAATTCTCAAAAAGACCTTGACAAGTGACGCTGGTAATGAGTTCTTTACTCCTCCTCTGCTGAGATCTTTAGATATGTACTGTCTTCTTTTCTTTTCAGTTGATTAAATGTATGGCTGTGGCTGGAAGTCAGTAGTTTACTATACAATCTAAGTCAAATTACTAAACAAAATAAGTTATTTTCTGTGCATGTATTTATGTGACAATAAATGTGAAATGTGAATATATATTTATATGAATGACTGCTCAGGAGAGTAAATGCTGAAATGAAGTGTGATTTTATGTGTTTTTGCACATAATGATATAGTGGAGATCTGTTAGTGTTTAAAGTTCTGTTGGGATTTAAAGTGTTTCTGTTGCGTTTTGTGTGTCACCATTGTGTTGAAGAGTAGAGCCTGTGCTTCAGTTCAGGATGAGCAGAGAAACACCAATGTTATGCTGTGTGTTGCTTTATTTAAAGGCAGTGACTGTAGTTACTGATGTATTGATGATCTTTTTGTTAAGTTCGTCAATTCAGGTGTATGCTGTTGTTAACTAACAATTATCTGCAAGAGGATTGAGTTAAATAGATGGTTTGTTAACTCATTTAAATAAATTTTTTTTTTTAGTGGACTCAAATGAAATAAAATCACAGTATAAATATGAAATGTCAATTGACCAATTTAAGATAATCGGTTTCCTCAAATTATCAAATAATCATACTGTAAATAATATAATAAAGAACTGTAAATTCACAGCTGCTCTTGTTTTTCTGCTTTTACAGGTGTGCTGTATTTTTTACAGTTAATTGTAGTTTATGATTTACGGTAATCTTGTAAAATTTACAGGCTTACTGGCAACCAAAATTGCCAGTAAGTTGCTGTAAATTTTACAGTAAATTTTTTAGTGTACATAAAACATGTACATATAGGTCTTGAAAAAACAACACGAGGGCACTTAAAGCAGGAGGGCAAAAGAAGATTCTCAGAAGCAGCTGGTGAACAGGATGAGCATTTGTGTTGTTAGCTGACAGAATTTAGGTCACATCGACGCTTTCCTGGACACCCATGCTGCAAAACACTGCCAGCAGACAATGTTGTGAAAATTGGAACAAGTTGAAACTGGGATGAAGGACACAGGCCTCCGCACAACACATAAGGATGCTTGATCAAATTACAAAAACCCATCCTTGGGTATTCAACTGGAGAGTTATCTAATGATTGTGAGAGCTCCACTGATATATAGCCACACTACAACATGCAAAAACATGTAGACTACTGCTCATATCTAATGCATAAAGGAAGAGAAAGGTAAAAGAAACTTTGGAAATTTTATTCTGACCAACAATACATTTGAATTAAGAGAACGATATATTAGATATATTAAAAAATTTGGTGCTACTTCACTTCTGGAATTTTGTTCATTAGCAATATTCAATTTCCATGACACAACAAGTGAGTGTTTTACATTCAATACTCAAAATTGAAGGACAAACAGGTGTTTATATTGAGAAAAATAACCTGTTCGGTATAAGTCTAGTTTGTGGACGTTGTATTATATTTTACTCATACTAAGAACTTGTTTTGCTCCATCAATCTTCCCTGAGTGGTTCCTTTGAAAAAGATTTGTTCACAAAAAACAAGGTACACACACACACACACACACACACACACACACACACACGATAAATGTAAACCACTTTTGTGTAAATTGTTCATAAAACAAATTGTGACTAGACTTTTTGCCTATTTACCCTACCATTCAAAAGTTTGCGGTCATTAAGATTATTGTTGTTGAAAGAAATTACTACTTTTATTCAGCAAGGATGCATTAAATTGATCAAAAGTGTAAGTAAATACATTAATAATGTTACAAAAGAGTTCTATTTCAAATAAATGCTGTTCTTTTGAACTTTCTGTTAATCAAATAATCCTGAATGAAAAAAAAAATGATTTCCACAAAAGATATTAAGCAGCAGAGCTGTTTTCAACATAAATTATGATAATAATAAATGATTATTTAGCAGAAAACCAGCATATTAGAATGGTTTCTGAAGGATCATGTAACACTGAAGACTAGAGTAATGATCACAGGAATAAATTACATTTTAAACTAAATTAAAAAGTTTATCAAATTGTAATATTGTTTTACAATATTACTGCTTTTATTGTATTTGTTATCAAATAGATGCAACATTGGTGATCATAAGAGACTTCTTTCAAAAACATAAAAAATCTTAACGACCCAAAACCTTTTAATGATAATGTGCAAAATAGGATTTACACAGAAATATGCTCTGCTCATGTTTCATGGATGAGACACAATGTAACGCATAATAAATAAAACAGGGAAAAAGGTTAGAATACTTCATGTGATTGGAAACTTTGCTGAGACCAGCAGATTAAAGGTTAATTAGTTAAGCATTTTGCTTTTAACTTGATCAGGCAAAAGTAGGTCTCGATAACAGAAATGGCTAGACAAAACATGACTGCGCTCCCACCTAAACAAAAAACAACTTAACTGAAAATCCCAAAACACGCAGTCCTTAACTTCACAATATTCAATTATTAACACAGAAGAGCTTGAAGTGGGATCTAATGGCTGCCTGGCAACACATGTGAGGAGTCATTTCTAAGTTCTTTCTCTCCGGGCTGTTGATTTGACTTTGCAGAGATTATGACGTGCATTTCACACAATCCTGTGCAGTGTTTTGCCAATAGCAACATCGTTCAATAAATGCCAGCCAACCACAACAGCTAGTGCTCTGTCCTCGAAATCTAGTGCATATCTCCCTCAGGGCAGAAGCTGTTCCCTTTGGAATACTCCAGCAAATCCCACTTCCACATTTCTCAGGCGGGCAAAAATGTTTTCCCGATTAGACCGACGATCAGATGTTCTAGATGCTACACTGCCCGGCCAAAAAAAGTCGCTGTTTGGATTTACATAGGCAAAGTCTTAAGAGTCTTTGATTTGATCATTATTGCCGTGTAGAAACATTATTATGTTTCTAGCATGTTATATGTTTGGAAACAGTTCTTCTAATCCTAATTGATGGAGTGTGTAGCTTTTCATTTCTTAAACAACCATGTAGAAAGACACATCACAGCCATATTCCAGGATGACAATGTCAAGATTCATCAGGCTCAAATTGTGAAAGAATGGTTGGGAGGAGCATGAAGAATCATTTTCACACATGAATTGGCACTTCTGAGTCCAGACCATAAATTCATTGAAAGTCTTTGGAATGTGCTGGAGGAGACTTTACAGAATGTTTGACTCTTGCATTGTCAATACAAGATCTTGGAAATGACATCACAACAACTCTTGATTTCTATCAAGATGTGCATTCATTTTTGGTCATCAAGAGGTGCATCGATTTTTGGTCAAGATCTTGTATTGGCAATGCAAGAGTCAAACACTCTGTAAACCTTTGCCAAATATATAACATGCTAGAAACATAATAATCACTGCAATAATGATCCAATCATGGACTCTTACATTTGCCTATTTAAATCCAAACAGTGACTTTTTTTGGCCAGTCAGTGTATCTTGGCTTTTCTAAGGCGATTCAGTTGCTCATCACAGAGAAAACAGATTTCCAAAGTCAGCGCTCACACACGCAAAAATCTCAGGAAAGTGGGTCAACACCCTTTTCTCCCCATCTTTTCTCATCATCGCTGCATAAAAACCGAGAAATGGAGTGGAGAATGTGGCATAAAATAGGAATGCATCGCACAGAATTAAAGTTAAGAGGGGTTAAAAACAGTTAAAGTGCTTTATGGACATAACTGGTACCTTAATGTGACTGCAAGAGAGCTACTGTACCTTTAAATAATACAGAGTGGCATTGAGGTAAGGAAAAGTGCGCTCTGATTGGCTCCTTCCCAACCTGCTGTCTAAGAGGATTTCGATGAGACACCTGATTGAGGAAACTACTGAGAGTGAGTCAAAGCTGTACTATATAATTTAAAAAAAGAAAAAGAACCAGTATTTAAACCATCTCTTTCAGCAACTTTGGACAGGCATCAACAGCCTCAAGCGTGTTAAATGAATGAATAATGTGGTAATGGCTGGAGCATATAGTGTAAATGTGGAAGGCATGGGAATGCTACCCTATTAGCACCTCTAACGACGAGTCACTTCTGCCTCGGTCCACTTGATTTTAAATTGTTTGTTCAAGATGTGCAAACAAAACTCGAGTTTAATCAAAAATGTAGCATTCGAAAACCCTCAATCATCAGGTATAGGAGTGTTGCAATTGCCGTGGTAGATGTGCACCGGGCCATCGCAGTGATAGTACAGCTGGAAGACGTCACCGTACCCATGTTCCCTCCACCAAGTGCAAAGCTGTCGGTTCCAGCCACATGAAAGTGGGTAAAACAGTTCCCTGTGCTCCATCCCGATCATGGTGAAGAAATCCTGATCGCCCAGATGCCCTCGGAAGTGGTATTTCTCAGCGAGCTGGGCAATCCGCCCGGGATCCAGAAGCTGGTTGTATAAGGTCGAGCGACGCATGGCTTCGAGGTTCAGAAGCATTACGCCGCTGTTGAAGCCGGGCAGACCGTCTGGTGGAGGGTCGCCTACATGGGACTTGGGATTCTCTTTGCGGTACTGCCAGAATGTGTGCCTACAACACACAGAGAAGACAGAGGAAAAAAGATTAAAGCAAAGAATTATAGCTTTAGTATCACACCTAGGTTTACAGATGTGAACAACAAACCCATAACCCTTAAACTTAAAAAAAAAAAAAAAAAGGGAAAATTGATGGCACAGCCCAGGTATTTTTGCAAATAAATCTGTTTTTATCTCAAGAACTAGGTGAAAGTAGTGCTGTTTCAGGGAGTAGAGTCTTCACTGAAAAATAGTGAAGCTAAAAAAAAAGGTGCGCCGAAAATAGCAGAAGAAAGATATTTCAGGTGTAGGATGCATAAATCATAAGTAAAAACAAGCATTAATGTCTAAAACAACAGAGAGCTGCTCTACAACAGAGAACCAGAACCCACAGTTCTGCCTTAACAAGTACTTAAAAACGGCATAGAATGGCTAAATCATTATAACTTTGAAGTATGAAGTTGGAAAGTGAAAAATTTAATCTGAGACTTTGACGTGAGATTGACCCAAGGCTATAAGCTTGAGGCGAACTCAACTTATGGGCTGTGGCATGTGTGGAGAATCCTAGCATGTTCTTTTGAGTTTTTTGAACTGGGAATTTGCGGTGATGAAGCATGAGGGTTGGTGAAAGTCCAAGACCATGCACTGCTCACAACGAAGACTGTGGAGTGCTAAATCTATGCTTATTCAAAGTAGCTTTGATCCATCAAGTCAATGCCCCCTGCAGAGAATTCCTCAGAGCTTCTCCTGAAGTTCATAGATTCTCTCGTGCTCTAAAAAACCCAAGCTGGGTAGGAAACAACAGAGAGATTTCTGAAGCTGCAGCTCCTGGACAGTTCATTTGACAGCAGGAGAACAGAACCAGACAGGATGACACAAACTTTAAGCTTTTATCTTTCTCACAGAGACTCCAATTTAGTGGGAGCATTTCACAGAGAAGGCTTGCTAGAGTCAACAGGAGCACAGGTAAACAAGAACAAGACAACACTAACTCAGGGTCCTTCTGAAGCTTTGATGCTCCTGAAAGAGATGCCTGTTCCTCTAACAAGTCTTTAATATAAAGTTCAGGTATACAAGTTCATTCTCTTGTTTAAAGGCCTGTCCTGCACGTTTTATTTTTAAAATGCTGCCAACATAAATTCACGATTAAAAGAATTTGGTTGTAAAGATACAAAGAAGTACGCTTTAAAGCAATATAATTTACCCAACAAATGAAAATTTTGGTCATCACTGACGTTGTTCCATATCGTTATGACGTTCTTTCTATTAGTATTGATATTTTGTAAAAAAAAAAAGAAAAAAAAAAGTAGTGATGGCCTTTTAAAACCTTTGCATTATATTTTTCAAACCAGTAATTTGAAAGATGAAACTGGCAAAGTCACATTATTTCACGGTTTAACCCTCTGGGGTCCTTCATTTCAGAGTCACACTCAGGACCTTCGGGTCCAAATGGGCCGGAAGGGTGGGATTAATATTTATTAAGAAAAAATCATCTTTTTTTTTTTTTTTACTTGTTTTTTATAATATTTTTTCTTTTCTTTTTTGGTGTTTTGAGATAATTTCAAAAATAAAAATGATTTATAATTAATATTAATGCAATAATTATGACCCATTTTTTCCCCATTGAATATAATATAAATAAATAAAAAAAAATTTTTTTTTTTTTTTTTTTTTAAAGCTGTATTTCATTTTAGAGTCAAGCCTAGGCCTCATGAAAGCAATTTTTGAAATGAGATGGATGCCATCTGGTGGACAAACCGAGCATTTTAAAAATTCAAAACCCATATGTAATCTGAATTTATTAGTGTGTATGTGTATAAAAGTGTGTTTATGTGTGTGTGTGTGTGTGTGTGTGGATGTGTCTGTTTTGCACTCTTGATGTTTTATAGATTCACCCCTTCACTGTTGTGTGCTTTTTTTCTGGATCGTGGCTGATTTGTAGTTTGTACGCACAAAATAACTCTGTATTTTCACATTTTTGCCAATTTCCCATTCATTTCCTATGCGGGTCCATTTGGACCCGAAGGTCCTGAGTGTGACTATTTTTTTTACAACCACTTAGACTATTCAAATCCTGTCCCCAATTTTTTGGGGTGTTCATATGCCAAGTACCAACAAAGTCACCAAATTTCGGACCATTCCGATAAAGCAATGATTTAAAAAAAAAAAAAAATTAAATGCTTCGGGTCCATTTGGGCCGAAGGACCCCAGAGGGTTAAAAATGCCATGTTTTTTATCAGCGTATGGCGTTTCCAGAGCTTCGAATCAGCTAATCATTATTCAAAGCAATTGGTTTAATTGACTCAAATTTTCGAAAAGCTTTGTTTCCCCCATCACTACCAAAAAGATCAAAAGCACCTTAAAAATATGCTACTTACAATAATTCTGATAATCAATGAACTTATTTCATTAACTATAATATAAACTAATAAAAAAAGTTATTCTACAAATAAAAACATATAAATGTATGAATGGATGCTTAAAAGTTAAATCAAATAAGAAAAACAAACCCCCAAATGAGATTTGAGAGCCAAGATTTTTAGTTAAATAAACTACTTTTATTTGTCCTTGACAGACCCTGGTCAGTGTTTCTTCACTGGAAAAGAGCAACAAAGTGATTCTTCAACATATTTAATGTTCCACAGAAGAACGGATACTGGTCTGGAATGAAATGAGAAAAATAAGATAGATTTATCCTTTTGGGGTGACCTATTCCTTAGATAAAGATTAATGCATCTTCAGTCCAAGCACTAAAAACATTACTAAAAACAATGACACTTCTGTGCATCTCTATTCCTTTAATTACAGCCCCTGTGGTTCTGAGGTGAATATTTTGACCACTTTCTGTGAGTTAAGAATGAAATATTCATTAGGAGATATGAAAAATGCTGCACGCTAAATCTATAAGGGCATGACTGAAGCACTCTGGGTCAGGATCTGTGCATGCCCGGGCCGTCCCTAATGAACGAAGCTTCAAAAACATCCCAATTATAGCCGCATTATCCAGTCTTTAAATGGAATTTGTGAAGTCAGAGTCGAAAGCAGCGGGTGTCACATTGTGGGTTGAGAAAGCAGAATGTCAACTTCCTGTGTCATCTCTTCAGCTCAGCATCGACATTTTAACACAAACAACTTTTCCCTGCTGTTTAACGGCCTCCAGAGGAATGTCAGATGGCACTTCCATATTTCATGTCTAGTTTTACTATCTTCTTTATGAGTGGCAAGACCTATTTGTCTGTCTGAGAGGATGTACGTGCTCTGCAGCACAAATCTAGAAGAATTCATCACGATCAAAAACTGGATGAAAAGCAAACCATGGTGGGTATTTTTTCAACTAAAAGCGGGAAAATATTATATAATAGTATGTATTAGGGATACATGAAATGCTACCTCTGAAATTAGCATCAGAAAATACAACTAATTTATTGTTAAAATACAGCCATATTCATCAGTCATTTCCACCACAGAATGCTGTTAAACACACATATAATTAATATAATATAATAAATATTTTTTTATAAATATTTTTACAAATATATATTATTATATATAAAATCTATAATATACATTTCACACCGCCGCCGGCGAGAGCGTCAAAGTGGCCGAAAGTCATTCATTTTAAATGTGAGCCGGTGTGGTGAAGTGTTGGGTCCCACTGAAGGGTTGAGTCCCAGCTAAGGACCCCATTAAGTTGCCATAAAGTCGACCTGACTTCAACTTCTCCACGCCGCCAGAGCTCGCCGCCGGTGTGGTGAAGTGTTGGGTCCCAGTCCCACAGAAGTGTTGAGTCCCAGCTAAGGACCCCAGCAATTCGATTGGTTCAAAGCACGTTTTATGGGTAATCGCTTTAGTGCCTGCGCGGTTACAAATCAGAAAAAATCACTTTATTATAGAAGACGTTTGAACTACGTTATAACGAGTCATTAATGTTTTTTAACTTATATGTTTCATATACTAGTATATAACCGAAGCTATAGATAGTAAATTTAAACATTTCTCGTTCTTAGTGTTTTTTAGTTAGCTTACATAGTAGCATAGCATACAGCTATCGGATGATCGTGCTAGCTGAGGTTTACCTGAGCTTATACTGCCTTACCGTATTCACAGCGATTTGAAATGCAGTTATAATTATGTCATTATAATTATCGTAATAATCAGTGCAATATGTTGTACAAATTTTGTTATTAAAAGAACCATGTAATAATGTTAAGTTGTGTTTATTATTATTTTTCTAATTAACAGTTTATCCATTTAAATAAATTACAGAAAGTTAGTGTTTTGTGTGTACTTAGTATAAATATTAATTGGTTGTCTAGCCTTGATTACAGAACAGTGTAATAAAATTACCACATTAGTTCCCAAGCAAAATAGAGGAGAGGTTGATCATTTGAACTTAAAAAGAAGGCGCGCAACACTATTTATAGGCAAGATTTCCGCGCTAGAACACAAACACCACACCACACCACACAAATGGCTTTTAATTGGTTTATCATATCTTAAAAGGAACATTTTAAAATAATTATACTGCGATTTTATTCCCCCCAAAAAAGTAAATGTCATTTTCATAGTCATTTCACAACACAAAAAGTGATGGAAATATTCATGACCTTCAGTCTGTTTTACTAAATCAAGGTTTTAAAATTAAAATGCTAGGCATTTGTTCTGGGTCGATGTGGATATGAATGAAAGTTTAATATTTAGAGTTATGTCCAAATCCTGAAGGTCGAGCTAGTAACAGTGAAGCTAGCCTTAAGAAACACCACTAACGAGGTAATAATTTCCACTGCCTCTTACAGGCTAATAGGCCCAATGGGCTTTTACACATGAAATAAACATTTCCTTCTTGGAAATGACAGCATTATGCACTTATACACAATCCATTTCTCATGTCAGAACTCCAACAAAAAAAACACCAGTATTGATTAAAGATTTTGAAAATTAATATATCGTGAAAGCTACTGCAGTGCAGAGAAAAACACCATGTGGCTTGTGTGTACAAGAGCCACTCAACTGACA